AGTCCGACTTTCTCTATAATTATTGTGGAGTTCCCAAGGATGCTCAAATGTATGCAGATTATACAGTTTTATTTGTAAAATAAAACTTGCTCAGAAATGAACAGCTATGACCAGTGTTTCAAACTGTATATTTTGCTACAGGCAGTCAAATTATACATGTGTGGGATGATACTTTCTCATTTTAATTATTGTATGACCAGCTGGTTTAAAACTGGAGTTACTACCTAAAGACTAGTTGAATCACTTTATAAAAAAACACTGAAAGTCCCGGATAAAAAGCCTAATAGTGACCATCATTTTAACATTATTTTCAAGTATAAACCCAACTCAGAAAAAGTTGGGACGATATGGAAAATGCAAATAAAAAAAGAAAGCAGTGATTTTTAAATTTAATTTGACTTGTATTTCATTTCAGACAGTATTTTATGTTTTGTCTGGTAAACTTCATTTTATTTGTAAATATACATCCATTCCTGCCATTCAGGCCTGCAACACATTCCAAAAAAGGTTGGGACGGGCATTTTAGGGCTAGTAATGAGGTAGAATGATTAAAAGATGAAGTGATTTGAAATAGGTGCTGTCAACAGATGATTGTTATCATGGTTTGGTACAAAAGCAGCATCCAGGAAAGGCCTAATTCTTCAGGAGCAAAGATGGGCCGAGGATCGCCAGTTTGCGAATGAAAGTGTAAGAAAATGATTCAAATGTTTAAAAAAAAGATATGAAGGGATTTGAATATTATGATGAAACTGCATCAAGAACCGTTATTCATCCATAAGTGATATGAGCTCAAGATTACTTTGGCAAACATTTTTCAAGTACTACAAGACTTAGTTATATCCAGAAATGCGTTAAAACTTTACTGTGCCAAAAGGAAGCCTTATGTTGACCGTGTCCAGAAGCGGCGTCGCCTTCTCTGGACTCAAAGGCATCATGGATAAACCATAAAACAGTGTAAACGTGTATTGTGGTCAGATGAGTCAGTATTTCAGGTCTTCTTTGGAAGAAATGGACGGTGTGTGCTCCAGACTAAAGATGAATAGTACCATCCAGACTGTTACCATCAACAACTTCAAAAGCCAGGGTCTGTCATGGTATGGGGTTGTGTCAGTGCCCTTTGCAAAGGTAACTTATACTTCTGTGATGGCACCATTAATGCTGAAAAGTACATAGAGATTTTGGAGCAGCATATGCTGCCTTCAAGACGTCATCTTTTCCAGAGACATCCATGCATATTTCAACAAGACAATGCACATTCTGCACACATTACAAAGGCATAGCGGCAGAAGAAGAAGGTGGGGGTGCTGGACTGGCCACAATAGAGAATGTGTGGCGCATTATGAAACTTAAAATGAGAAAATGGAGACTTTACTGTTGCACACATTAAGACTTGTTTGCAGGAAGAATGGGACAAAATGAAATGCTTCATCACTGGGTGTCTTGAGTCCCTAAATATCTTTTAAGTGTTTTGAAAAGGAATAGCCACATTACAAAGTGGTAAATGCTTTACTGTCCCAACTTTTTAATGTTGCAAGAATTAAAATTGAAAGAAGGGTTATTTTGAAAAAATTAATCAAATT